ATCTATCTTTATTGTACATAAAATAAAAAAAGTAATCTCAGTTTTTCTTTACTGTCCTTTTAACTCTTTATATACTTGTTTTTATTTTCATCATTTTCTTTTATTAAAAACTCTTTTTGGCTGTCCTTTATTATTAAAGTCTTTACTTATTTGCTTTGGTTTGATTTTTCAACACCTTATGTAACTGATGTTATTATTATGTATTTATTGACATGTCTCAAGCTTTTATTATGGTGTTATACACGTATAGATATGTGTGATGGGGTATAAGTACACATAAGATATATATATTAGTCCATGTCTTTCGCCACGCCATCCACCATATATATGGTGGTTTTCTGGCTCGCCTCAATCCACCATTGACAAGACCGACGTGGATATACAATATTATAAAATTGAGAAAATAATAATCATGTGAAATAGTACAATTGTTTTGAATAATATATATTTTGGACAATCTTTTTATTTGACCGTATTGATTGTTATATGATCTCATATAAAATGTCTTGTGAATTACCTATGATGATCAAATAAATAAATTGATCAATAATTTACAATCTTGTCTAGGCCCTAGGCTCCGGACTGCTTCCTAGTGAACGCCAACCTTGCTAATTGTACAATTTGTGGCACCATATTCAGGAATTTTATTTGATTCTCTTCATGACAATCCTTATTCGGCTGTAGCTGTACTAGCTGGTTGTTCTTATAAATGGGAAAAAAATGTTCTTTTATCACGCAGTTCTCTCAAATAAGTAAAAGGCTGTTTATATATAATAACTCTTGTTCAAAATTTCTAGTTAATACATACTCCGAATATTGATGCAAATAAGCTGTAAAATTTCTCTGGTTATATTGTTATTGGGTGGGAGCTAACGAACATTTTTCTAGCACACGAGGTCTGAGAGACATTATTGCTGCCGTTTTGGTTTACCATTCAGTTTATATATGCCTGTAGATTTTTGAAAGTATGAAATGTAATAATGAATCCAATTTCGACTTCCTTGTTAATATTTGTAAAAGGTTTTATTTGCATGGATATTGCTGAACTATTTTGCTTGTTGGCAGTTGTTGTGACTGCAATCACAGAATTGGGCTGTGGAAAACCAAAATTCTATTCCACTCCTGAGATTATCGCCTTTTGCAGAAAATGGCGTCTACCAACCAATCATGTGTGGTTATTCTCAACAAGGTGAATTTTGGTTTTTGACCTGCTAACTGTTTCCTCATTTCATTGACAATGTTTGACCCTTCTGGAGGTTTTTGGGTATCCGAAACCGATGATGCTAATTCTTTTTACCCCTGGACAAGAACAGGTGATATATAATAGAGCAAAAAAAAAAAAAAATTTGGTTAATATTGCCGCTCGTTGTTTTTTTGACAAATTGGAGGTGCTCTAAACATGGGAAATGGTAGTGTTATTACAGCATAAGCATGGAGGTCTAGAAAACTGTCCGATGGTCGCAGCCCCGTGCTGCACACTGAATTCTGGTTGTCTTACGCATTGTTACATTTTTCCTCCATTTCAGGAAGTCGGCAGCATCATTTTTTGCTGCTTATGATGCTCTCTGTGAGGAAGGAATAGCCTCTTCTGTATGTAAGGCACTTGATGAAGTTGCAGATATATCTGTACCCGGTAATTTTATTTTGATACTAAGTGGAATTTAAATTAACATTTGTGGCCTCCGCAGCATTTGTCAAATTATCATGTTTTATTTTTTGTCAGCTGATGAGTATGGTTTCATTCTTGCTTTGGCTGAATTTGATGTTGATTGATATTTTGAAGCGTCAGTTTCTAGTTTCTACAGATATACTCTTCTGACCTCACCTGTTTCTGAACTTATTCGCTAAGCTACCTTATCCCCTATACCAGTACAATTACGGCATCTTTTTATCAGTCAGAGGAGCTTCCTGTGAATTGTTATGCATCTTGATGTGTGCATCCTTTACTTACAATGTGGGGTCATGCATGATTTGTCTTCCTCTTTCTGTTTTTCTGTGGATTTCTCCATCTTCACCACATTCTTTACCATTGAATCAGTTACATAGTAGAATTTGTATCCTGAATGCCTGTTGTTCTATTCCGTTGATAAGATTATTGTCAGTCGTCCACTGAAATTAGTGTCTAAGAATCAGATAACAAGAGTTTATTGGCTAATAACCATGTGTACCATGCAGTTTATAATTTTATTGTATATCTTATCTTGCCTGCAGTCGTCCCTGTTAATGACTAACCATAATTTGGGCTACTTTGTTATTTATGTATATAATAAAATACGGTCTCCTGCTTGCCAAAGCCAACCTCTGTCATTTTACCTGCAGGATCGAAAGATCATATAAAGGTGCAGGGTGAAATCTTGGAAGGTCTGGTGGCTCGGATTGTGAGCCGCGATAGCTCAGAACATTTGGAGCAGGTTTTACGGGACTATCCTCTGCCGCCACCAATGGAGGGAGGTAAGAAGATTTTATTCACATCTTTCTTTTCTGCAGAAAATAATGAAGGACCATTCACTTTCAGGAAAATGGTTGTTAAAGCTGTTGATCAAGTACAAAAGAGTTCATAAATTAGTGGTATTAAGCTTTGAAGAGAATTTAGGGGTTATTATCTCCCGCTCCGTCGCTTAAGTTACATAGAGTCAGTTTTAGTTTCCTTTAGAGTGTCTATGATACAACTTTCTGCCACTTATAAAAGAGCATTTGTGATTGTAAAGAGGTAACTATGAATATAATAGTATATCCCCATCAAATAGAAGGTCTTCCAATGCTCTCCCACCCTATCCAACCATGCACACATACTACACCTCAAATCCATGAAGAATGGAAAAACGTCGCAATTTTTTAGGTCTTCAGAGAAAAGAAGAGCATGTGCTGTGAGGGCAGGTGGGAGTGTAGTAGACTTTTTAATATGTTACACAACTCTGGAAGACTTGAACTTTAATCTCTATCGATCATCAACTTAAGCTTTTACAAGCAGGCAATTATTTTGCAGCAACTCTTACCAACTGTGCCAAGTAGAAAATGACGTGGGATAAGCATTCAATTTGAGTCATCATTTTCTAATACTTCTTTAACTATCCTGCTTTATGTCATTTTGAGATCTTGATTTGATTTATCATTTTGGGGAGTCGGTAAATGTCAAGAGTTCATGATGCAATTTAACATCGCGAGTGTATTGTTTGTTGTGTTTGTGTGTGCGTGTATGGGGGTGTCTTAATGTGTGTATGCATAGGTGTGACCGAACTGAAGCTTTCCTTCTTTTATTTAAACCGCGTAAGGATAACTAGTTAGACCGGAAAGCAGGATCCTGATGTTTATCGTAAGAGATGGATTTTATTTATTTATTTATTTTTTTTTTTCATATATTAATGCCAAGAGTGACCTTGTTGTTGGTCTTCTCATTTCTTTGTCAATGCATGATCCCGGTTATGTTTCATCCCCTTACACTCACGGCCGATAATGACTTTCTGTACCTTTCTTGATGTTGGTTTTACTCTTGATATTTTATTTGTGTTTGTCAATTCATCAATTGTATATCAGCTGAGTCAGGATCCAGCTTGCGGGAAATATGCGCTGCGAATAGAACCGATGAGAAGCAGGTGCATGTTATATATTATATATTTCTGTTAATACATTCATTTTTGTAGTATCTATAATTTGTTCTGCGAATTTATATTCTTTTATTTACTTTTTTCCCTTTATAATTTACAGCAAATAAAGGCACTTCTCGATAGCGTTGGTACCTCTTTTTGTCCAAATCATGCCGATTGGTTTGGGACTGGAGCATCTGAAGGCCATTCGAGAAATGCAGATAAATCGGTTGTGTCAAAATTTCTTCAAGCACGCCCTGCAGATTATTCCACGACAAAAGTACAGGCAAGCTGCCATTATTGTTGCTTCTGGCTGTTTTTTGGTACTGGTGAATTTTTTTATTTATTTTTTTCATGGGAAAAGTGTGTTGGTACTTCTTCAAGCAAATACATTTGAAATTTTTAGTTCATGATCCTGGGGATAGAAGGTTGGATCATTATTTATCTCCTAGCCGATGATTTTCCTTTGGTTTTATGAAGCGATGTAATCTCCTTTGCAGACTAGAGGACTAATAGTTATTGCATTGGTTGTATGATTTATTGTTATATCTGTGTTATGCTTGAGTGTTCTGGTAATCTGCTATGCAAGTCTTATCTTTCCCAGTGATGTTAGTTTATATTTACCACTTGCATCAGGAAATGATTCGTCTGATGAAGGAAAAGCGCTATCCTGCTACTTTTAAGTGTTATCACAACTTTCACAAAATCAACTCTCTGGCAAGTGATGATCTTCATTTTAAGATGGTTATTCATGTTCATGCTGATTCTGCTTTTAGACGGTACCAGAAAGAGATGAGGTCGGCCTTTCGATGTCCCCCTATCTGTCTTTGGCTTCCTTCGTGCATATGTGGCAAATTTTAGCATTGTGCATAGTTTACCTTTACTTTGGATTTTTAATTATGAATGATGGCATATTGCAGGCACAACCCAGGACTTTGGCCACTATATCGAGGTATGTAAGTTTATTTGTAAATTCAGAGGATGTATCTCTCTTTTATCATCTTCATTTCTTGGATGTTATGTATGGATTATCACGGAGAACTTCATATACTATGATGCATATGTGGGACTTCAGTGAGAACCCTAGAAAACTAAAATGAAGTGTGTTTTTGGGTCATAGCCTTCTCTTGTTTTATTTTTTATTATTTTTATTAATCTGAGGTCGTCACCACATTTTTTTTGTATTCTGTGGTCAGTGTCTTTAGTCTGGGTTTATTTTGAGATACAGCTTCATGTTTCTTGTGTTTTTGCTCTTTATGCACAACATGCTGTTATATATATGTTTCACTGTCATTATTTCATTGTGTTGATTGCTTATTTGGTTCATTTGTCTTTCTTTATTTCCTTTTTTCCAGTGCTTGTAAATTAGAAATATTTTGGAGAGCAGCTTCTAATTTTCTTGCCTTTTCAGGGTTTTTTGTGGACCTGAACTTATTCAAGGATACTAAGGAGAGAACAGCGGAGTTCTCCTCGGAAATCAATGTGGGTGGTGGCACAAATGGTGCTTCTGCCCAAGACGGTTTAGCTGATGAAGATGCCAATTTGATGATCAAGTTGAAGTTCCTCACATATAAGGTTTGAAATGCTTTTAGTTGCTTTTATATATAATTTAGTCTTTTGCACTTCATATGATTGCATATCAATCATATTCTTGGCGGTTGAATCTTTATGTAAGATTCCTTGTGTATTATTTTGCTGCAACTTGCAAGTGATGCACACAGATGGTCTTACTAAAGCTTGTTAGGCAAGATGCACAGATTGAAATGAGTCAGTCTGCTAAACCTATGTAACTGGTTCCAATTCTATGTCATGTGTTGAGACCTACAAGTGTTATTGAAAAATCTTCCGCCATTAAGTTTGTTCGGTGATGTTGGTAGTTGATTGTCCTAGACGGGTGGGAGTCTTTTTTTAGTTCTCTATCTTCAACCCATCTCCGCTTCCCGGGCCCAGACATCCATCCCATTCGCGCTTCGCCTATACCACAATGAAGTATGTTTCTTGTTGAATTTTAGTTTCTGGATCAGTGCAGAAAGGTCTGAAATTGTACCAGAGAATTATAGTGTTTTGGTTGCCTCTCTGGATTTGTATTTTTTATTTGTTATATAATGCCTGAATTACATGTATTTTATTTATGCCCACCGAGTTCTGGGGTGATAAAGGATCATTTATATTCTTTTATTATTTTTAACGTGCAGTTAAGGACTTTCTTGATTCGGAATGGCTTGCCAGTTCTTTTTAAACAAGGTCCAGCTGCTTATAAGGCCTACTACCTTAGGTAAGCTTCTCAAAAGGCCCTACACTGGCCGAGTTGTATGTGCAAAATGATACTGAGCAATTTTGTTAAGATGTTCAATATGAAAAATCTAAAAGATTACGTCTTCTCTCTTGGTAATTTTTGCATTGTTTCGATGAATAATCCTGGTTCCAACTCTTAAAGAAATATGTTTGAAGACTTCACCTGGATATGCCAGCATTTCTATTTTTTAACTAATTTTCAGCTTGATCTTATATTCATGTACATAAACTCGTGCAATAGTGGGTTATGACCTACCTTCTGCTATGACTTCCAAGTGTATGTATATATTTCATTTACGTCAAGGAACTTATGCATTAACCTGCGTTAAAGAATGGCGTCTTACTAGATTATAATGTTTCATCCTTTTTTCATTATTCTGTTGTATTCTATCTTTTTATATAGGAGACTTTGTGAAAATTATCAAGCTTTTAGAGACCAAAGACGACTAGTGTCTCTGTTTTGTTCTTTTCATGTACCAATGACTGCTATATGTTCATTTACTAGGCAAATGCAGAAATGGAATACTTCAACTGCCAAACAAAGAGAGCTGACCAAGATGCTGGATGAATGGTATTACCTGGAATTTTCCGTGCATGATTCCCTTAGAAGTTTTAAATTGTAATACTGATGCAGTATTTATTATTTCTTATGGTTTCTGTCAAGGGCTGTATTTATTCGTAGAAAATATGGAAACAAGCAGCTCTCTTCCTCTACATACCTTAGTGAAGTTGAGCCATTCCTTGAACAGTATGCTAAGCGCAGCCCACAAAATCAGACTCTGATAGGATCTGCTGGAAGTTTGGTGAGATCTGAAGATTTTATGGCCCTTATTGATGGAGGCAGAGACGAAGAGGGTGATCTTGAGAAAGATATGGCCTCAACTCCAACTACCATAGTGAAGGAAGCTATCAGGAAGGATGAAGGACTCATTGTTTTCTTTCCAGGTACAGACTTGTGCTAGTTTCCACCACCCTTTCCTGAGCTTAGGTTACTTCTGTAATTTCTGTGGAATTAAAGAAATGAAATAATATTCAGCACTGTGATTGCATTGTTTAGAGAAGAAATATACCGAAGGCTAACAATGTGATTGCTACTGAGCAATTGCATTCTGAGTAGTTCCTTTTACCTGTATCAAGTTCCTAAAACAACATATTGGACTTTAATTAAGAGCTACAGAAACCTGGTATTCATGAATGTCTAATAATAAGATATAGTCATTTGGGAAACTACATAGGTATTTATTTTCTTTGTGTGAAAAAAAAAAATTCACTAAGGATATTCCGCAACATCAAATAAAAAAATCGCAAACCTATTCTACTCTTATTGTATCTGAAGGCGCACTATGAAACCTTGTTTTGAAGGATATACAAATACAGCTCTTGAGAAAATTAGAGAAACAATCAGATCCACCAACCTTATTTTGATCTTTAAATTGCATGAGGAAATGAGGAAGAGTTAGATAGAGAGGGATTCAAAACGATTATTGGTTGTGCATACATAACATAAAATTTTTATATCAATGCATTCATCATATCATGCTTCTGACTTTAAATAGACTTTTTATTTGTCCATATTAGAAGTTATGTTTGTCCCACATCGATTTTTTTACTGAGCTGTTATTGTGTATAAGTGAGGGTTGGGCACCCTCTCCTCTGAGCTAGCTTTTGGAGATGAGTTCTACCCAAGCCAATTTATCATGGTATCAGAGCACCTAGGTTTTGTTTGTTTGGAGGCAATGTTGGGATTGGACCCGGCCCATATGGTTTGGCATGCTGTGCGTGAGGGTGGATGTTAGAAGTTAATTTTTGTCCCACATCGATTAGTTACTGGGCTGTTATTGTGTACAAGTGTGGTTGGTTACCCTCTCCCTTTGAGCTAGCTTTTGGGGATGAGTTCTACCCAAACCCATTTATCAGTCTTATAGAACTCACTGTAATTTTTGAACACATTCAGCGATAGTGTATATGGTTTCTTAACTAGTGACATTTCTAATGAATCCACCGTGTGCATGGTACATGCAACTTTTGAGACCTTTTCCAGCTTTCCCCATACTTGAGTAATACAGGGATATGAATGTTATCACTGGAACACGTGCTTCTGATGTATCATTGTGTGTATGTGTTGGTGCTCTGATGTTTGTCTTGTTTTCTTTATTGAGACTCGTTATTTCTATAACCTAGATCTTTGCTATTTTAGGAATTCCTGGTTGTGCTAAGTCTGCCCTTTGTAAAGAACTACTGAGTGCTCCTGGAGGACTTGGTGATGATCGTCCAGTCCGTACTTTGATGGGTGATCTTATCAAAGGTATGAGCTGATTTTTTCATGTTTCTTTATTTCAGAGTTTTCACCCATACATTGCCTGCAATTATTCAGTTAATGATAATCCATTCTGGCAAATATTTTTCAAATGGTACTTGGCAGCCATCATGGATCTACACTAATCAAGCAAGAATTATCTGATTTAAATAGGCTGTGTTGCGTGGATCTTTTTCTTTCTTTAGCTATTTCTTTTAAGGATGGTCGTTAAGACATATTACTAGCTTGGTATATGTCATGGAATTTGCAATTATTCAACTCACTCGTTCCTGTTAATGTTTTTTCTCTCAAGTAGCTGAACTACAAAAATCAATTCCTTTTTAAGAAACTGTCTGAAAACAATTTCTCTGTTGAAATAATTGGAAGTCAATTCGTGGACCCATTATAACCTTCGGAACACTTATGAGAGGGTACACCAACCATTAAGTATTGGTTCTGATATAATATGTGTGTGGTAAATGTATTTGCTATAGCTTTTCTTTAGACAACACATTTTCTTAAAAACCTCAGAGTATTTGTCCTTTAGTTCCAGTGGTTGTATTGGGAGTGAATGGTCCTGTGGTTACTTTTCAACAGCAATACACATGCTGCAAAAGTGCAAATTATGTGTCCATAGCAGAAAATGATTCTTTGATTACTTCTCAACCAGAGTTTAACAATGGTCCAATTACCAGTGACCTCATTTTCTCCAAGAGGTCATTTATTGCCACACTGTTTTCTTAATCTGACAGGAAGATATTGGCCAAGGGTTGCTGAAGAGCGTCGCAAGAAGCCGTATTCTATTCTGCTTGCTGACAAGAATGCTCCAAATGAAGATGTTTGGAAACAGGTTTTTATTTTCTCTTGTGTTCATAAGCTCCCCTAAGGGAATGGTGCAATGGGATCTGCAGTGTTTCTGATTTTTGGGATTGATGTTATTCTTCATGCAAAATGAGTTGGTTTTATCCAATCAAAGATTGTCTATAATATTATTACATTGAGAAATTGGGGGATTGGGGATGGGAGGGATGTTCTCGTCAGGAATTCGGTGAGATGCTTACCTTGATTTATTTGTCATTCTTGGAATTATCTGCAGATTGAGAACATGTGTCGTAGCACAAAATCGTCTGCAGTACCAGTTGTACCAGATTCAGAAGGTTGTTCATTAATGTTATTAATCTTTCCAAAAATTCTCCCACGGGCCCACTTAGTTTCTACTTGTCTTCTGATTTCTGTACTTTTTAACAACTTACACTGTTATATTGACCAAGAACACTACATGCCAGAAGTTTTTTTTTGACTAAGAGCACATTATGTGTCAGCCCCTATGTGGCCTTGGAAGTTTTAGAGATACGAGTACTAATGGTGCTCTGTTGCATAGCATGACAAACTGACATGTGGCTGGCTATATTGTCGTTCTATATTGATTTGATTTGATGACTGCATGTTTTTGTGAGCTTTTTGATTGCTTGCTCATCCCATATTTTTTAAATGGAAATCCTTGTTAGGTTCATTGAGAAATCATATTTATCGTATTTAACTATTTTTTGTTTATTTGTTGATATGATTTTCTTAGATGTATCATGTATCCTTTGTGAAAACATGTTTAGCTTGTTCATACCTCATTGTGATATCTTCAGAAAAAATACATGATCATGTCATGTTATAACTGTAACTCTTATTTATATGCACATTGTTTCTCTGTTTAATGGCTTACGTGTGGAGAAATATGCAGGGACTGAATCGAATGCATTTTCTCTTGATGCCCTTGCTGTATTCATTTACAGAGTGCTTCATCGCGTTAATCATCCGGTAATGATCTATTAAGCTACTTCAGTCCTGGGCTATTCAATCCATAGTGTTCTCAGAAATGTGACAACTAATTATGCCGGTTTCTTTGTTTTTTTCCTTTTTTCTTTTCCCTCTGCATTTTCAAGGGAAATCTTGACAAGTCTTCTCCAAATGCTGGATATGTGTTGTTAATGTTCTACCACCTATATGATGGCAAGGTATTGTTGGTATAGGTCGTTTGGTGTATATATCTCCTATGTAAATCTCTTATAGTGTGATTGTCCTACAACCTGCAGAACCGCAAAGAGTTTGAGGCTGATCTAATAGATCGTTTTGGCTCACTTGTGAAGATGCCTTTATTGGAAAGCAACAGGTTTGTCTTCATATGCCAAAATATTAGTTGATTTAATGTCTCGTAATGAATTTGGTTAGCTTCCTATGCCTACCCCACTCTCCACCCAAAAAACCAATAACTAAAATAAACAAAAGGAAGCTCTTTCCAATTTCCCAGTTTAGCAGCATTTTATGCCTGAAGGCCCCACACATGAGCCATGCTTATCCTTCTCTCTCCCTGTGCAGGCCTCCTCTACCTGAATCTGTGAAGTCTGTTTTGGATGAAGGAATAAATCTATACAACCTTCATTCAACAAGGCATGGAAGGTGGTTATAGAAACTATCTGATCATTTTTATTGCCTTTTCGATCTTTATCATAAAGATGAATAACATCTCATTATGTTGACAAAGTTTCTTTAATTTCTGGTAGAATGGAGCCAACTAAAGGCACATACGCAAAGGAGTGGGCCAAATGGGAGAAGAAAATGCGTGAGACTTTACTTGGGAATGCCGAATATCTCAATTCTATTCAGGTTAGTTTCATGGCTTTTTGTTCCAAGCGTTTCTCATTATGAATCAGTACCATTTATTGTGTTTTTCAATCCCTGGTTAATGTTGGCAAAATTTTCTATTCTAGAAGGTAAGTTTTATTTTTTCGGTCCTTAAACTCTAGACTTGAGCTCCGAAGTTCTGAAGCAAACTTGTAGGCTTGACTATTATTATGTATTATAACTGGAATATACTATAATATGATCTTACCTACTCACTGAATGAAAGAAAGCCACACACCGGCCTCTTTAAATTTTTTGTATTCCTGCATATTCTACAGTTGGATTGGTGAATAAAATGCCAAGTGTTTCTAGGATATACCAAGTTATAATTCAAGTTCAAAATCACAGCTTAGACAATGAAGACGTCTAGGTGTTAACACCATTGTTTCTCTTTTACAAACCTTCCGAACTTGGGAATATCCAGTTCTTCTGCCTTGTACCTTGTTTTGAGTCCCGCACTTTATATTTGCAGGTGCCATTTGAATCTGCCGTTGAGAGTGTTCGCAAACAACTTAAAGCAATTGCTAAGGGAGAGTATACAGTGCCTAGTACCGAAAAGCGGAAGTTTGGGACCATTGTCTTTGCCGCTGTCAGTCTGCCGGTTTCAGACATCCTAGGTTTCTTATCCGATGTAAGTGAATACTTACCCCTCTATGCTTGCAATATTATCCTTGGCTGCACGTTGATCTTTATTGGCATATTGATACGGTTTTATCTATCCTTGAAGTTCTGTGTAATCAATAAAGCCAGTTTTTTTCTTTTCCTTTTTTTTGTTTACATGTTGCAACTGTGAACGTTGTTTGTAATACAAAAACCAACTTCGAGGTGTTGATTATAATACCTGTGGTGAATTTTGTACTTCTTAAGATGCCTTCAAATTTTTGTTATCACTCTAGGTTAGTAGCTTTGAGGAGCACGGTTTTGGTTTTCTGACTTTAACTGATCTCACATTTTTACTTGATCAGTTAGGTCAGAAGGATCCTAGAGTTGAAGGGTTTCTCAAGGACAAGAACTTGAAAACCATCCTCACGAAAGCCCATTTGACCTTGGCCCATAAGCGAAGTCATGGTGTGACTGCTGTAGCTAGTTACGGCCTGTATGTCAACCAAAATGTACCCGTTAAGGTGGTTGCACTATTATTCTCAGATAAATTGGCAGCTTTGGAGGCCGATCCAGGTGTGGTTGATGGGGAGAAAATAACTTCGAAAAACGAGTGGCCACATGTGACGCTATGGACTGCCCAAGGAGTTGCACCTAAAGAAGCTAATACGTTGCCTCAGTTGTTTGCTGAAGGGAAAGCTGTTCGAGTCGAGCTTGAACCACCTGTCACTATAACTGGAGTTTTGGAATTCTTCTGAGGAGCAGTTCTTTTTGTATTGGTTTCCTAACCTGGTTTTGGTTCCTCAAAACAATGAAAAGTTCAAACAGTTTTGCAGCATACAGTACCTTCTCATCGGAACAGTTCCGTTTTTTTATTTTTGCTGATTTTGCCTCTGATGACAAGGATTTTGCATATGAAGATAAAATGAAATGTAAATAATTCATCGCCCCCTCTTTGAAAGAAGAGTCGCAATTCGTGGCCCCTCTGTTGTGGTTCTTTTATTGTCAAGAAAGGATTTTCCCTTCGTTGGTGATCTCACTTTAGAATCAGAGAATTAACATTACCAAATAAACAAAAGATCATACGGATAAATGCGTTGCAATTCATTATGCATGTTTATTTTCAATAATTTCTTTTGCTAGCTCAATTTTTTAATAAGCAAAAATAAGCTGCTCCAACTTCGATCGAAGAAATTCAATACGCAAACAGAAAATTTCACCAACGCCACAAACAAATTCATTAACCCCAAAACTCCCCTCCATACTCAACCACAAATGCACGTCAAAGAGGGATTTTATATTCCTAACAACACAAAAAAGGAGGGGAAAAATTACCGTTCTCTCGGTGAGGGGTGTATGAGTTCCGCAGATGTGCCAGTGATCTGACCTATGTACCCCAGATCGATCGTTGTCGATGGAGATGAAGCTGGAGTGCGGTTCTGTTCTTTGGGTTAGGGCAATTTTAGAATTCTGTCGCTGACGACGTGATATAATTAATGGGAAAACTGATTATAGGTGTGGTTGTAATTTGTGTTATAGAGAAGGTCAAAAAAGTCCGAAAATAAATAAATTGAGGGTAAATTCGACTTTATATTCTTGGGATTGGATTAATCCCATGTAAATGGAGGGATTCAATTATCCTGAATTCATGGGATAATTCATTTTTTTTTTTTTTTTAATTCCGGGCCGACCCAATCCCGCGGGCTTTAATACATTGAACCAAACGTAGGATTAGACTAGGATTAAGCGGGATATCCTGCCTAATCCTACAAAACAAACATGGGCAAAAAAATTAGCTTAATCCATTTTGTAGAGTGTGATTCTAAATAAAGCAAACAACGTGCATCCAAATTAAGGACGCAAGTGGAAAAAAATGCATTTGTTCAGAGGCACACATTTGTTTGGAGACCGAAGTGTAAGCAACGATTTCAACATTCACATACAGGCTCATCAAATATTATCAAACTCGAACTTCATTGTGGATCTAGCTTTATACTTAGATTATTTTCATGACACTAATCTACCCACCTAAAGTGAACACTTAGTCACTTTTAGTCTTAGAGTTTTTTATTTCCAATACTCGATTCAACGTTATCAAAATTCATCGCTCGAGTTACTCGTGAACATCTTAGCTTTCTCA